GATTTGGAGAACATCCTCCTAAGTATCACAAGAATGGCAAATCAAGTAACCAATATACTTAGTACTAATATGAAACCAGTAGATGAACAACTACATGCTCACACAAGAGAAAAACACAACTATATTCAAGTAATGGGGGTAGGGGGAGGAAGGAGGGAGAGGAGAGAGGGGGAGATGTGCTCTCATCTAATGGGCACAGTGTAGGGGTATATGGCATAGCTCCTGGGTGAAGGACTCAGCTATTACTAGGACCTTGCCTAACAAATTCAACTAACATAAATAAATGGGACCTAATGAGGCTAAAAAGCTTCTGTTCAGCTTTTGTACCCTTGTATTAATTTAAATTAAAAAAAAAAGATGAGGGGGCCTGGCGCAGTGGCTCATGCCTGTAATCCTAGCACTCTGGGAGGCCAAGGAAGGTGGATTACTAGAGCTCAGGAGTTCAAGGGGAGCCTGAGCCAGAGTGAGACCCTATCTCTAAAAATAGCTGGGTGTTGTGGTGGGCGCCTGTAGTTCCTGCTACAGGAGGTTGAGGCAAGAGAATCATTTAAGCCCAGGAGTGTGAGCTGCGTCGCCATGGCACTCCACCAAGGGGTGACAAAATGAGACTCTGTCTCAAAAAAAAAAATATATATATATGTGTATATATATATATATGTGTGTGTGTGTGTATATATATATATGTATATATATATATATATAGTGACCAAAAGTCTAGGAGTGGTGGAGGCCCAGGCTTTAAAGCAAATACATCTGCTAGTTAGCCAAACTCATAGCCCTAACCTGAGCCCTCTAGTCTATTTTTTGTAAAGAGAGTAAATTATTTGCTTTACCTTTGTGAAACCCAGAAAGCTTTTTTATTTTGTGTTTTTTTACTGTATTTTATTATTTATTGTTCTTTAAATATAATTTTTATTTCAGAATATTATGAGGTAGATTCTAAATATGCTTATATGGTGTTACGTACTCATGCATTTATTTTTTTTTTGAGACAGGTTTTTACTTTGTTACCCTCGGTAGAGTGCCATGCCTCATAGCTCACAGCAACCTCCAACTCTTGGGCTCAACTGATCCTCTTGCCTCAGCCTCCCAAGTAGCTGGGACTGCAGGTGCCTGCCATAACACCTGGCTTTTTTTTTTTTAAGAGACGGGGTCTCACTCTTGCTCAGGCTGGTCTCAAACTCTTGAACTCAAGTGATCCACCTGCCTCTGCCTCCCAAAGTGTTAGGATTACAGGCCTGAGCCACCGTGCCCAGCCTCCATGCATCTATTTGGAGAGAGCTGGCATTCCTTACCACTCTAGGAATGCCAATGAAGTATGGGAAACAGATTCATGTGCTTTTACAAGCCATTCAGGAACCAGCTGAGGTGGCAGTCATCCATTGTAAGGGACATCAAAAGCGAGCTGACCTAATAACTCAAGGAAATAGGGCTGCAGATATGGCTGCCAAAGGGGCAGCCCTGGGAAAACTGTTTCCTAACCTAGTGGGAGCCCTAGTCCCTTCTGATCCTATTCTGTCCATTCCAGCTTATTCCACCTCAGAAATAGCTGATGGGTTGACTAGAGGATACCACTTGAGACCCTCTAAATGATTAGTTAAAGGAAACCTCTATCTATTACTGGCTAAAGAAGTAAAAAAGTTGATAGACGTTCCCATAATACTACCTTCTTCAGCCCAAAGCCACTTAGACATCTCTGGAACAACATTTTGTTTCTCTTTTACTATTCTCCACCATTAAACACGTCACCTCACTTTGTACCATCTGCCAAACTAACAACCCTCAAGGGGCTTTGAGAACAAACCTTGCCTCTCTGCGCCCCCCCACCCAAGGGACCTATTCCAGCAAGGACCAGCAGGTACATTCCAACCAAATGCCTCCCCGTAGAGCAGGGTTGTCCAGCCTTTTTTAAAACTTCAAGCAATCCCACTGGCCTCACACTGGAAAAATAAGAATTGTCTTGGGCCACACAGTAAATACACAAACACTAACAAAAGCTCATTAGCAAAACAAAACAAAACAAAACCATGTCAGTGCCTACTGTTCATGATTCACACACCACAGATAAGCATAAAAAGTCCTCACAAAATCAGCATGCAGCCCAAGGGCCACAGGTTGGACACCCCTGCTATAGAGAATTCAAGAACTTGTCAACATTTTTACTTGTTGGGTTGAAGGTTTCCCTTACAGGACTGAAAAGGTCACTGACATTCCCTGAAGACTTCTGGAGGACATCAGACCTTGTTTTGGCCTTCTCTACTCCTTAAAGAGTGACAACAGTCCTGCTTTTGCTTCACAGGTAGTGTGGGGAGTCTCTGGGACCCTGCAGATCTCTTAATGTCCTCATTATGCCTGGAGGCCTCAGTCATCAGGCCCAGTGGAGCAAGATAACCAGAGCCTTCATCTTGCCAGTACAAGATGACCCAGGAGACTGGGTCAGTTGGTTAAAACTTCTCCTAGTCACTCTTTTATATTTATGCATTGTAACTAAAGCTCCCTTTTCTTTGAGTGCTTTTGAAATACTGTATGGGTAACCTTTTGCTCTGACCACTGTGGACTTTGATTTTCAGGAAATGGCTGGACATCAACATACCCTCAGGCAGCTCGGTTCCTGCAGACATTACAAAAACACTGCCCAGAGACCCTTTCTCCCCTGGTCCTCTCTGTCAGCTGGGGTACTTAGTGCTCATCAGACAGTGGAAGTATGGGCCTACCACATCCCAGTTTATCTAGGTGTGGAAAGGTCTTTATCTGGTTGCACTTTCTACCCCAACCACTGTTAAGGTCTCAGGGATACCCACTTAGACCCATTATTCTCAGGTGAAGTTGTGGAAGGACCAAATGAAACTTGATCCCTACAGAAGAAGACTCTAAAACCAGAGGCAAATATTCATGTCCTCCCTTGGAGGATCTCTGGTACCTGTTCAACCCAACTTCTGCTGTGGTTCCTTCAGGTAAGTAATGGAAACTGTTTAAAACTAGCTGTACATTCACCTTCTTATGGGAACAGCTGGATTGGCTGTGGGGTTGCCTGATAGAATGGGCAGTCCCCTGAAATAGGCAGCAGAAGGAGGCACTTGCTTGTTCTTCAAAAAATAGTGCCTCTTTTTTTGTTAAAAACTCTGAACAGGTTCAGGGCAATGTCAATGCCATTCTAGAGCCTGCCTCCAATCCCCAGATGTAAGATGAGACCTCTAGGCTCTGGTGGATGTCCTCAGTAATTCTCTTGATCACTCTGTTACTTTACATCTTGGGAATTCTAACACTGGGACTAATCCTCATAATTTTTTTTTTTTTGAGACAGAGCCTCCAGCTGTCCCCCTGGGTAGAGTGCCGTGGCATCACAGCTCACAGCAACCTCCAACTCCTGGGCTCAAGTGAGTCTCCTGCCTCAGCCTCCCAAGTAGCTGGGACCACAGGGGCGACCACAGGTGCCCGCCACAATGCCCGGCTATTTCCTCATAAATTTATTCATCCTGTGTTGCTTAAGGGTCTCGCAGAAAAGCCATGTCGCAGAGAATTAGCACGCTTGTTGAAATTGTGTTTTAAATAAAGGTGACCATCTCCGAATAGCTGGGAACACAGGCACCCGCTACAATGCCCGGCTATTTTTATTGTTGTTGCAGTTTCGCCCGGGCTGGGTTTGAACCCACTACCCTCGGTATATGGGGCCGGTGCCCTACTCACTGAGCCACAGGCACCGCCCCGACCCTAATTTTTAATATCCTGTTATCTTGATGATCCAGAGGCCTCCACCGAACTTTTTCCAGACATGAGTCTTGGAAGTCAATTAGAGAGCTTTTGTAGTAGTCTAAGCAAAAAACAAGGAGAACAATAACTAAGGTAGCAAGAGTGGAGAGTTGAAATCACATTTAAGAGACATTTCTGAAATAAACTGGGAAGGATTAATGACCAAATGGATTGGGGGGAGGGGAGGTGTGTGTTGCAAGTAATGATGAAACTAACGTTTGTAGTCGGGGAGTCTAAGTGGATGAGAGAGTCATCAGGTGGAAAAAGAACATTTCCGATACATGATAAATGTATTTACATAACATCTTGAGGCTGTGGTCAGCTTTGTTTAAAGAGCAAAAGGAAAGCGGATCCCGCAAATGGATGCCCTCTCCGGTTTTTTACAATGAACTTATTTGCAGGAACTGGAGCAGGAATGTGCTTGAAACCTTGAGCACATTCTTTCTTGAGCTACTGTTACACTTATGTAGGGCCACTGATTCGATGACTGCACTTGAGCAAGTCATTATTTATTTCTGTATGACTTAATCCTCCCATCTGTAAAAGGGGGATAACAGGAAATTTAGAACGAAGATTGAGCTCACTTACACACAGATCTGAAAAGAACAAGGGTAGGGATTTTAGCAAGTTGTATGAGCACAAAACCTTCCCGCTCCCCTCGTCGCTCGGAAGGTACTACCTTGTATTTCCCAGTAACTGGCCGCTCAGGATTCGCTGATCCAAGGGTGCAGCTTTAGTTTGCTCCGCCACGGGGCGCGCGTCCGCTGGCCTCTGTGGCACCAGCCGAGTGTGAAGCTAAGGCTTGGAGAGCGCCATCAGGTCTCCTAGGAAACCACTCATCAACTTCCGGTTTGAGGAACAGTTCTGGTTGGCGAGAGGCCACATTTCCGCCATGTACCTGGCGCAGGCGCAGTGGGAGCGGGAGGGCGCGTGCCAGCTGCGCGCTGCCCCAGGCGCACTCTCAAAAATCGACCTCCCGGCCCTGACTCCGGGCTTTCCCCGGGGAGGAGGCGCCGGGAGGGACAGTCGCTCCGAAGGGGCGGGGCAGGGCTCCACTCAAAGGTTCCGCGGTACTGCTAAGACCGGCGGCTGTACGAGCGCTTCTCTGGTCCGCCGAGCTGGAGTTGGAACTGGACCTCCATGGGGCCACTGCCCCTGCTGTGGGGCAGCGGCTGCTCCAGACGGAGCCCCCGTCAGACAATGAGCCAGAGGCAGTGGCGATCTCCCGGCAAAGCGATCGCGCCGGGGGGATGCTGCGTTGGTTCACCACCGGGATCTTGTTTGCATCCTTCCTGGGGCTGGTGAGAGTCTGGGCTGCAAGCCTCCATGGTCCGGGCGTGAGCAGGCATCCTACAGAGAACGTGGCCTTGAGTCCTGCCTCTTGTCACTTGCAAACTGTGACTTTGAGGCGCCCGGGCCTCAGTTTTGTGTTCTGGAAAATGGGCATGATACTAGTTTTGGAGGGTTATTGGCAACTGCAAAATTAATTTTCTAATACCTTTTTTTCGGCTCCAGCAAACCGGCTCTGAGGGATGAGGAGAGGCAAGAGGATTGCCTGGGTTTTTACCACTGTTATATGTGCCCACTTAACCCTCAAAGTATTACACAGAAAAGCTGTATTTCTGGGATTTCCTGTTTCTAGTGGTCTGAGCAAATTCAGCCAACCGCTTACTTTTGCAGATAGAGAAAAAGACCCAAGAGGAAAGTGACTCACGGATTACCCAACTGGTTAAGTGGTGGAGCCAGGAATATGTCTCTTACTCTATACACAATTTATTTAAAACAAACCTTCAGATCCTTAAAAGGTTGGGGGTTTTGGTTTTGTTTTGGAGCAAACTGCAGGGCTACAGGCATCATTTGCCACCCCCCACCTCCGCCGCCCCACAATTCACTATTTCCGGAAATCTCCATTTTATCACTTGATAATTGTGATCCTGGGAAATTGGGAGGGTGAGTCCTCTGAAAAAAGTCACTTCAGGTTAGCATCTCAGGAACTCCGAGCCAGGATTGTTTCTTAGAATATTTTGATCGGGGGCTGGGGACGAAGGATATTGTTACAGAAGCTTGGTGAATATTCACTGTGTGCCAGATCCTGTTCTAAGTCCTTGGAAGGCGTGAACTAACTTGAGTAGAGCCATCTCGCTCTTCTCTCCTGCGAGACCTTGTGCGCCTGTACCCAGGCTCCTTCTCAGTCTTTCCTCCAACTTGGGCACGGGGTATACCCATGCATTTAGAGCAGAGCAGTGCTATTAGAATTAATTATTCTTGAAATGTAGACTGATTAAAACATTTTTTTTCTTTAATCGTCTGATTAATTCCCTTTGAAAGCCAGCTGTAATCCTTTGTTCTTGCTATACACGACATTGACTTTGAGTACAATTTTAGTAAGTCATTGTATATGTGTACCTGTAATATTTTCTAAGAAAGCCTTACTGACTGTGCTTCTGATGGTTTGGGGTTTTCTTTGAAGAAGAATGTAGATTAGAGAGATGTTTACATTGTTTATCTCCTCTATGTTTTATATATGTAGTTCAGAGGAAGACCCCATATGCATCCACAAATACTGCTGTTTAACAAGATCAAAAATGGGAATATTTTGGTGTTTTGATAATTAAAATTTTTAACATCTAAATTTTTACTTGTACATGTAGTATATTTCACAGTACACAAAACCATTTTAAGAATAGTTTTAATGTTACATTTTAGTAACTGTTAATACAACATTGTCTTTTACAGACACTGTTCAAAAAAGAAACAAGATTGTAACAAAAGCTAGAAGATTATTATTATTATTATTATTTTTTGAGACAGAGTCTCACTCTGTTGCCCTGGGTACAGTGCGGTGGTGTCATGGAACCTCACAGCAACCTCATACTACTGGGCTCAAGCAATCCTCTTGCTTCAGCTTCCCCAGTAGCTGGGACTACAGGCATGCACCACCATGCCCAGCTAGTTTTTCTGTTTTTAGTACCGATGGGATCTTACTCTTGCTGAGGCTGGTCTCAAACACCTGAGCACAAGTAATCCACCAACTTTGGCCTCCCAGAGTGCTGGGATTACAGACGTAAGCCACTGTGCCTGGCCTCAAAAGCTAGAATTGAAGAATTTTTTTAAAACTTGAGAGAAGTCAAAGCTAGAAAAATAAGAGTCTCTTCTTCTAGTAGTATTAGGATTAGTGCGAATTTTTCTTGACTCTGAGGACTTAAAGTAATTTCCTATGTTACATTGTAATCCTGCCCACCCCTACCCCCCATTTTATACCGGAAAAAGCTACCATCTGGTTAGACATTATTTTAATGATTGTAAGTAAAAGCTTTTGTCTTTTTTAATTTTAGGGAATGAGTGTTGCTATACTGGGACCCACATTTCCAGATTTGGCAATAAATGTGAACCGAAATATCAGTAGTCTTTCTTTCATTTTTGTGGGCCGTGCTTTTGGATATTTGAGTGGCTCTGTGATTGGTGGAGTTTTTTTTGACATGATGAATCACTTTTTACTTTTGGGTAAGTAAATTAAGCCTCCTTATGACTATTTACTAATTTACAGTTCGTCTTTAAATAAGAAAATTTCTTGGCTGCAAGATGATTGACACCTGATAATAGGCTATGTCTTTGTCCTGCTAACCCATGTCGATAACAACCTGAGACTTCTCTGTCTTACCCTGGAAATAGATGGCAAAGCTTTTAACATACTCTTTCTTGGATAAACTGAAAGATTAATGTGATAAAATTCCTTTGGAAACAAGAATAATTTGTTACTGGTGATAAATTAATGAATAATCTCTCTTATTTCCAAAGTGGCTTATAAAAATATATTGTATTTGCCTCCCTGATCCCCAAACTAATTTATTTAGTAAGCTTTTACTATAAACTACTATTGTAATTGCCTTTGATTTTTACCTTTAAAATTTTTTACCTCATGTCTAAAAATGCCTTTAGGTTCTTAAGTATGACTACTTAAATAAATAAATAATTTTTGGTTTGTTTTGCTATAAAATTTTGCCTTATGGTATAAGTTACAATTATTAACAGTGCTAAAAATGTATTCACATTATAATAATTTATATGTTATAGCCTATAAATATTATAAGATTTAAATGAAATAACCACTTGTAGATGCTGAAACTCTCACCTACCAATTTTAATTTGACCTTATTTTGCATTTTGGAAGTTTTTATTATTTTGACATGATCCATGACCCTGCATGATATATTTTTTTTAATAATTGACTACAATTATGCTTTGTGTATTATTTTAGGCTTCTTAAACAACATATGCTTTTTATGAGACAACAATGAATGAAAATCAGAAATAACTATAAACATAATCTCATTCAAATAGGG